TTGGCACCCTAGAAAGTCTGGACCTGGTGAGTACCCAAATGGGAATCTTCCTACAAGATTTTGGCCGTCAGCACAAGCCAGAGAATTCTGATCAGTTAAATGGAAACCAGCTAAAAGCCAAGTAGTTATGGGACCTTGGGCTGTGTTTGTCATGGATAAATCCTGTCAGCTGTGGCAGAGAGCTAGTGAGAATTAAAAATGGCCTGGATGAAATGAGAAATAGATCCAGAATTTTGTCCCAAAGGGTAATAGGGCTTAGAAACTACAGAGAGGCCATTCTGGTCTCATTGTCATTGCCAAGCTGATAGAAGAAAACAAAAGGAAACAGATCATAGTACATGAGCAAGGCACCACTGTGTTGCTATTTACTGTAAATGAGTGCTTGGACATTTTGCTCTGAAGTCGGAATAAACCAGAGCCTTCACACTGAGTAGCAGGTAGAGAAATTATGTAAGTCAGTTGAAAAATGAATTCCAAACCTTCCAGCTGCTTCTCTCATGTCCCCCAAAAAGCAGAGAAAAAAAAAAAAAAAAGAAAAAAAAAAAGGACACACTGCACATGCATCCCCCAAACATTCACAATTTTGCTTGAAAGCACAAGCTTACACAGAAGCTTTAGTAGATTTGTGTAGTCTTGCATGCAGAAAACACTGCAATGTGATGAACTGCAGGCTTTTCTGTAAATCTCTCAACACCCTCTCTGCAGTACATTGCAGACTTTCAACTCTAAACCACTTTGGACTTAGCCTTTGAAGTTTCTTCAGTCTAGAAACCTTTTGTAACAGTTTGATAACATGCAGAAGGACCCCAAACCCACTGTGGAGTGTTCTTTGGTACAGACATTAACACTGGGCCTGGGTAGTACAGTGAGCATCTTTGCATGCCTTCCTTTACAGACCTTCCTCTGTCCTTTGAGAGGAATGTGGGAGCAATGGTGCATCTAAGCATCACTAACAGAGTGCAACTAGTGTAGCAGAAGAGTCCTTTCATTTTAAAAAATGTTACTCCCTATAAGACCTAGTGGGACCTCTGGGCTGCGTTTATCATAGGTTAACTTTTCCAGCTGCAGTGAGAGTTGTCTAGTGAGAGCTAGAGATAATGTCGATGAAATAAGAAATGGCTCCAAACTTTTGCCCCAAACCACAAAACAGACTTGAAATCTTTC